TGACGGTGAGCCTCTATCTGATCCTACCCGATATCGACATCTTGTTGGTCAGTTGGTCTATTTGTGCATCTCTCGACCAGATATCTCTCATGCTGTTGGTATTGTCAGTCAATTTGTTAGTGCCCCACGTTCTGTACACTATGCTGTCTTATTACGGATTCTTCGGTACCTCCGGGGTACTAGCACTCGCTCACTTTTGTTTCCTGCTACATCTAAGTTAGAGCTTTGTGCATATTCTGATGCTGATTGGGCTGGTGATCCAACTACCAGAAAGTCTACCACAGGTTATTGTATATTTCTTGGTGATTCCCTTATTTCCTGGCGAAGTAAGAAACAAGATGTTATTGCTCTTTCCAGTACTGAGGCAGAGTATCGTGCAATGTCCACAACAGCTAAAGAGATTATTCATCTTCGTCGCCTTCTCAGTGATTTCGGTATTTCTGTTACGACTCCTACTCCTCTCTACTGTGATAATAAGAGTGCCATCCAGATTGCTAATAATCCAGTATTTCATGAAAGGACCAAACATATTGAGATCGACGCTCATTTTGTCCGTCACCAAGTTATCAAGGACAAGACAATTCTACTTCCTCATGTTTCATCCGCTGACGAGCTTGCAGATTTCTTCACAAAGGCCTTACCTGTTCATCGGTTCCAGTTTCTTGTACGCAAACTCACTTTGTTTGATCCAACATGAGTTTGAAGGGGGCTGTTGATAATAGTGTATTGTAGTGGGTTTTAGTCCCACATTGCTTGGGAGAACAAACCTCACACTCCTCTACTTGTATAAATATATGTGCACACTCAATATTCAATTTAAGGGAAATTTACCCAAGATTCTCTCTCTCTCTCTTACTTTAACAAGACAGAAAAAAAAAAAAAACCCAAGAGCGGGGAGATAGAGAAGAGATAGAGAAGAGATTGAGAAATGAGGCATTGCTCTCATCGTTATCTCTATCTGTTACTGCTAGCTCTCTTTGTGAGCTTTGCTGCTAATTGCAATGGAGGAAAGACTAGTTCTTTTTGTTAGGAAGGGGAAGAAGTCTAATGATCATCAATAAAAGTGATAAAATAATTAACCCCACCAAGAGATGTGTTCTTGAAAGGACCCCAAATATCTGTACACTAGTACAAAGCAGGGCTGCCCCAACGGTTGAAACCGTTGGGGCAAATCATGACCCCAACGGTTAGAACCGTTGGGACTAAAAAATTGACCGTTGGGGAAAATTACGTTGGGGCTGACCCAGCCCCAACGGTTGCCAAGTTTGCCCCAACGGTTGGAACCGTTGGGGCAAAATATTTCGGTTGTGAACAGTGGTGCCAAACTTCACTCTAGTATTCACTCTAGTCTTCTTCCTAAGTACACAATGCTCACACAACTCCAACTTGCAGGTCTTAGCACCTTTCAATAGCCCCTGTTTTGTCAATGGCTGTAGGGACTTATCACCTGTGTGTCTAAATCTCATGTGCCATAAAGTGATAGTGTCATCCTCTGTAGTGATAGAAGCTGTCAGACCCCATGTAACTGTCTTGCCTTTCAAATAGTATATGTTTTTTTTCTCTGACCTCACATCACCACCATAGAACCTTTCGTGACCTTCACTGTAGCATCCTCTAAGATTACTCTATATCCAGCTGCCTCCAAAGTCCCAAGAGAAATGATGTTTTTTGTCAACTGCGGCACGAATCTTACTTCCTTCAACTACCTAATCACTCCGTCATGCATCCTAATCCGAACTGAACCAATACCATCAATAGGGCATACGTGGTCATTACCCATAAGCACGACATCCCCTCTTTTCGACTCCTCAAAGCTGGAGAACCAATCCCTCCTAGGGTAAATGTGATATGTAGCTCCCGAATCTATCATCTACTCCGTAGAATTAGCATAGCCAACTGACGGTAGTACAAGGCACGAATAGCCTGAAGAATCTGAATCTGAATGCTCATCAATAGCTTTTGCAACATTCACTTCTGAAGCTTGTGTAACTTTTTCCTTGTTCTTCTCGGCTTTTTCCTTCCACTTTGGACAGTCAATCTTTCAATGTCCTTCTTCTTTACAATACCGACATTGGTTTCTACCAACACTCTTATAGGCACTCCTGTTATTTGACTATGAGCGGTTGAACTGGCGGCGGTTTGGATCTCGGCCTCGAACAGCTAATGCATCTCCTGATGCCTTCTCGGAGGGTTCACCATCACTCTTCCTCAACTCATAATTCACCAAAGCTGAGGCCACCTCCTTGTAGCTAACATAGTTCTTCCATTGATCATAGTTAGAACGAAAGTACCATAATCATCTTCTGGCAACGAGCACAAAAGTAATATCACATTGTCTTCATTCTCAATCATGATATCCACATTGACTATATCTGAAAGTAGCTTTGTGAAATTATTGACATGCTCCCTGATGGAAACTCCTCTCTTCATCTTGAACTGGTAAAACCTCTTCTTCAAATGAAGCCGATTCTCAATGCTCTTAGTAAGATACTTCTCATTGAGTGTTTCCCACATTCTCTTCGCAGACGTCTCGTTTATAACATCATAAATAAGATCCGACGTCAAGCATGACCGAATAACTCCACAAGCCATACTATTCATCTTCTTCCAAACCTTATCCTCCATGTCTTCGGGTTTCTCTTATAACTCAAGAGTCTCCTTCAAATTCTGTGCATCCAATGCGTCCATTACCTGACACCTCCACAATCCGAAATTAATCTTACCGTCGAACTTCGGAACATCAATCTTTGTGTTATTGATGCTCAGACTCTGTATCGCCTTCGTAAGAGACGAACCTGATGTGCTTCTTCTCCCATGTTGTCGATCTAACTCTTCAGATAGGAATTCTTCACTGAATCATTCGAACAAACCTGGAGCTCTGATACCAATTGTTGTGCGCGGCAGAAGCCTCGAAGCGACACAAACAAGAACAAGAGATAAATCGTAACTAATAAGCCAAACACAATACCACAACAAGACAACGAGTTTAACGTGGTTCGGCAAGTTGCCTACGTCCACGGGGCAGGGAGGGAGAGTTCTTACTATTAGAAATCAAGAGAATACAAATAGAGTTACAAATCTCACCGATCAAACCCTAAAACAATGCTCTAGATCTCTCACAAATCTCTCACAATTGGATGCAGCAATTCTTTCCCAAAGACTGCTTAAAAACGTCATTGCTTAACCATAACTAATCAAGATTAGAGTTATATATCAGCTCCAAAACGAACCGGGTCAAATAACTGCCCAACTGCAAACCCGCTACGCTGTCGACCGTGCAGGTATCGCGGTCGACCGTAGCGGTCGACCGTAGCGATCGACTGAACACCTTCCGACAGAAAATAAATCGATTACAGGAAACCCACGGTCGACCGCGGCGGTCGACCAAACCAATTCCCGAGAGTTAAATCGCCTATAGGGTCCCCGCGTCGACCTCCACGGTCGACCGCCTTCAGCTCCAGAGCCTCTTGCTCTCTTGTGCATGTTCGCGGTCGACCGTCGCTGACTCGCGGTCGACCGCCAGTTTGCCTGGCTAATTCCTGCTAATTTCCTGAACTTCTCTCGCCACTTCTTCAGCTGTCATCTCATAATTTCCCCCCTTTGCTTTCTATTGTTAAAACAAAGTCTACAAAGAGAGAGCCAGAGACCTTAGTTCCTAGTTTCCATTCATCTTTCGGTTGTCAATTACCCAGGTCTTTGAAAGCCATATCAAAGAAAATAGTACCTCTTTATATTTCTGAAAGATGAGTAGGCTAAGATTTTAATCGGAATCGCTGGCATCATGCGTAGAGGGGATGAAAAGAATAATCAACGTAAAAGTTCATAGTATGAGAAATAGAAAGGGCAACATCCTCAAGTATGCGGAAAATTCTGTAATAGAGTACCTGTTCTACAAAATCACATATAGATGAAAGGGGTATGTCTCATTGTCAGATGTAAATCAGTACCATTAATGTACAATATTATCGCTGTCGCTGTTAATGCAATCAAGATACTTAGTATAACCAGAATACCATATATTAATTATTGCAATCGTCAGCTTTAAAACTTTGTTGGGATTGCATCAAGATCTCTTGGCTTCCTTTGTGATTCTGAGCTTTGGTATTACTACTAATTGTGCTGTATTACGAGGTTCAGAAGAACACGCAAGGAATAATTAACAAGATAATTTACTGCGGACTTGAATTAAAAAAAAAAAAAAGACAGCGGCAACACCGTTGCACCAAGATGTAGTGCATGCGAATCTTACATTAAGTTGCAATTACTGCACTATTCTTAAAAAATAATCTTAAAAAAAAACCTGCGAACATTGGATATTCCTCTTGATCCCAAACTCATCATATGAATCATCGAACAATTATATGGTCAGCTTTGGCGTGTGATGGCAACGTACAAAATATTAGAAGAATCTCATGTCGTGTTCGTTTGTCAAAATTTGCAGTCAACAAAATCACAAGTTTAAAGTCATTAGAGTCCACAGTGATCTAGTTCTAGTGATTAAAAAAGTCCAAGAACTTGAGTACGTAGATTCAAACTTCTTTATAGGTTACGGCTTAGTCCGTGATTATATCAAAATGATATTGGAGATTAGAATATTATATTTTTAATATTTTTCAACAAATCTGCTTCTCAGAAATCAAAATATGAACTATTTTATGAAGCAGTAACGTTTCTTTTATATATTTTTTTAGTGCATATCCAATTATTTGTACATAAGGAGGGGCGTTTGCTTTTAACAGGAACAACAAACTAACAATTAGGAGTAAATCAAAGAATTAGCTAAAAAGTTAATTAAGTTCCTTTGAAGATCTGGTTTAGTGGCGGGGGAGTTGGCTCATGTCTTATGGGTGAATGTATAATTTTGTATTTAGCAAGCTAAAGACAAATTAATGCTCCTTAACCCCTCACTTAATCTGTTGACAAACAATACTCCCTTTTAATCATCGCCATCTCCGTCTCTATTTAAAGCAAAACTTTGGCGAGTGTTTGAGACCAAAAAAAAAAAAAAAACCCAAGAGCGGGAAGATAGAGAAGAGATTGAGAAATGAGGCATTGCTCTCATCGTTATCTCTATCTGTTATTGCTAGCTCTCTTTGTGAGCTTTGCTGCTAATTGCAATGGAGGAAAGACTAGTTCTTTTGTTAGGAAGGGGAAGAAGTCTATTGACATGCCTTTAGATAGTGATGTCTTCAGAGTTCCTCCTGGTTACAATGCTCCTCAACAGGTAATATTTTTTTTTTTTCAATCTGGGTTTTCGTGATAACCAGGTACCAATCCTATATAAGAAATTCTTAATTCTGTTGCTTTTTGAAACGATTAGTTATTTAGTTATGTTATCACAAAAATTTTATTGAGTAGTTCTCAATTTTGTTAGTTGTGTTATGTATACTTGTTCTTTTCCCCTCATTCTTTCTAGCTTATTATGTATTATCTCTTATTATATATGATCTTTCTTGTACTCTTGATCCAGAGCCCATGTCTTTCTTCTTACTTTCTTCACTGCTTTCCAGCTAATTTTGTTCAAAATCTTCTGCTCTATGAGTCAAACTCCTATGTTTGGTTCTCAACTTTTTTTTTATCTTATTTTATGTTCTCTCTTAATGTTCATTCACTCAGTTGATTGCTGCCCACTCTTTATTTTACTTGTGAGGCTAGGGATCCATGCTAATTAATTGGCAAATTTGTGACTTTGTACTCTGTTCTATCGTTTATCCATCCTTGGAGTATCTTTGTTTCTCAATCTTGTTTTACTTTATGTAGATTTTCTGCCTTATTGACCTATGCCCTTACCGCTTTCTTTGTTTTTTTTATTTTTGGAGAACCTAGCTTTCCATTTTTGATCCATCTTTCATGATGATTTTCTTTATATTTTTTTGCAAATCAAAGTTTGTAGGCCTACAAGCTTTGATAAATCTTGCTATACACATAGATGACAAAAATCTTCATGTAGATCACTTAAAAGTGACTTTCCTGTGCCTTGAACTCTAATTATTGAAAAATTCAGACTCAGATCCTCCGGCAAAGAAAAATTACTTGGCTTAGTATTTCATAAACAAGTCTAGCCTACATGCTCCTGTACAAGTCCCCATATGCATGATTTTGCATTTCTAGTTTCTCATTCCAATTGTGGATACTTCTCTTATATCGGGTTTAAACAAGATGAGCTCAATGTTGTTTCTCGAAGGTTCACATAACTCAAGGAGACCTTCGCGGTACTGCAATAATTATATCATGGGTTACCCAGGATGAGCGTGGCTCTAGTAAAGTCCTTTATGGCACATCAGAAGACAGCCTCGAGTTTTCGTCTAAAGGCAGAGTTACTCGCTATACGTTCTATAACTACACTTCAGGGTTTATCCATCACTGCACTCTCCAAAAATTGAAGGTGATTTATCAAAACTTTTACTTTGACAGGTTGAATCAGTTTGAGATTTATAGTAATGGGTCTTGTGTTTCTTTGCAGCATAACACGAAGTATTACTATGAGGTTGGTATTGATCATTCACCAAGGAGATTCTGGTTCATAACTCCTCCTGAAGTTGGTCCTGATGTTCCTTATACATTTGGCATAATAGGTAAGTCTTAGTTTGATTTTCTTTATACATACCTTCCATTTGTCAACTTATGATTGGCCAATTGCGGATTGACCCCATTGTAGTTCTGTTTTTGCAGATAGACTCCCTGAGTGAATGATTTTTATTTTTTTTGACTCTTTTACTCTCAGGAGTTCTATTTGTCAAAAACAATTTTAATAGAGACGTAAAAATTCAGTGTGAATTTATACTCATAGTTGGCATAGTTAGTACTAAAAGGAAATAAGCTAAAAAATTTCTTACAATATGAATCATTCTGGCTTAATGCTCATTTCTTTTTGTAATATATTGTGATCAGGGGATCTCGGGCAGACTTATGATTCCAATAGCACACTCACTCATTATCAGATGAACCCGATGAAAGGCCAAACTGTTTTGTTCGTTGGTGATCTCTCCTATGCAGATGATCATCTGAATCATGATAATGTGAGATGGGATACTTGGGGCAGGTTCGTCGAGAGGAGCACTGCGTATCAGCCTTGGATTTGGACCGCAGGGAACCATGAGATTGATTTTGCTCCTGAACTTGTGAGTATAAAATCACACTACTGTTTTATCTGTGGTTCTAGTCCTAATGCATCCTATATGTTCTGCTTTATAGTTTCGAAATGGGTTCATTGCACGTAGACCCCCTGTAGTGTCCTTTGTTTTGAACTTTTTTTCTTTGACTAGCTCAGTGAAATTTTGATCAATATTGGCTCTGAACAATTTTCGTGAGTCTGTTGAGGGTAAAAGAGTCAAAAAATTTAACCCAGGGCTCTTAATGAAACGACAGGGGTGGTTAGTTCAAAACAATGATACTACTGGGGGGCTTTATGCAATTAACCCCCTAATCTAAATAAAATAAAAAAAATATGAACTTACATTGAGATATTCATGAATGGGGCTATATGACATCCTTGCAGGGTGAGACTGAGCCATTTAAGCCATATAGACACAGATATCATGTTCCCTACAAAGCTTCTGGAAGTACATCTCCATTCTGGTACTCGATCAAGCGAGCCTCAGCACACATCATTGTTCTTGCATCTTATTCAGCTTATGGTATGGCCCCTCAACTCATCGTTGTGATTTTTCTTCTGAAAAATGTCCTTCTCTAATCTCAATTATAGTCATTTTGTCAAGTTACCATCATGAAATTAGACCTGAACTTATATGATGAACTCTCTACATTGGAGTTGAAGGAAGGAAAAAAAAACTCTTAGTAATGCATTAAGTTCAGTATATAGGCTTTTTATTTCTTTTGTCACATTGCCCGGTACTTTTTAGTGTCTTTTTTCTTTCTTATTTTGAGTAGGAACTTTCCTAAGATCTGTTTCCATAATCAAGTGATTCATACCCTTTCTTTTTTCAGGTAAATATACTCCTCAGTATGAGTGGCTTGAAGCCGAGCTACCAAAAGTTAACAGAAGTGAAACACCATGGCTAATTGTTCTCTTGCATTCACCATGGTATAATAGTAACAACTACCATTACATGGAAGGAGAATCCATGAGAGTAATGTTTGAATCTTGGTTTGTAAAATACAAAGTTGATGTCGTGTTCGCAGGTCATGTCCATGCCTATGAGCGCAGTGTAAGTCTCACCACTGTCACTTTGTTTATTGATAGTTAATAAATCAATATTAAGAGAAATCTCTCCAAACTCCTCACCTAGTATCAGATCCAATTCTGGAAATATCAAACATACAAACAATGGCATCCTTCACATATTTTACATATTGTAGGAGCGAGTATCAAACATTGCATACAACATTGTGAATGGAGAATGTATGCCAACTCCTGATCCCTCTGCACCAGTGTACATAACTATCGGCGATGGAGGAAACATTGAGGGACTTGCCACCAAGTATGCTTAATTTTGCCAAGTTCTTTTAGAGTTATTTATAAAAGGGTTAATTGCCGATACATCCCCTTTACTATAAGGTGTTTGCTACTAGTTATTGCTAAGTTTTTTTATTAGCATTTAGACCCATTGATGTCTAAATAAAGTTATTTCTATTTTACATGTACATACTATAAAACAAATTTTAGGAATAACAAGTGACCAACAGCGATAGGACAGGGGAGTATCTGAAATTTACCCTTTTCGAAAGGAACTTATACAATGGAACTTGATTGTTTTAGGATTATGTTGATCCGCATTTTTCATTTTGTACTGCAGCATGACAGAACCACAGCCCAAATACTCTGCATACAGAGAAGCAAGCTTCGGTCATGCCATTTTTGAGATAAAAAACAGAACTCATGCCTACTACAGCTGGCGCCGAAATGATGATGGTTATGCAGTAGAAGCTGATTCGATGTGGTTTTATAATAGGTTTTGGTATGCGGTGGATGAATCTAATTAATCTTTTTCATGATGGTGTATGTGTAGTTTTTCTTCTTCTTCAGAAGTTAAAGATTGCTTCTTAAATTCACAGGCATCGTCCTCACGTTTCAGTTGGGGTTCCTGTAAATGAGTTTTTGCTCGAACATTTGTATCGTCATATAAGTCAATAAAGATCCTTTCGTATCTCATGGTTGATTATATCGTCAATAAAGATCCTTTCATATCTCATGGTTGATTATATCAGAGTATATTGTTTTTTCATTCAACATCTACATGTGTATATCGATTTTGACGTTTGCCACAGAATAATTGTTGTCATCTACTTTCGATAAAATTGTATCGTACTTACCTACTAATTCTATATGTTGAATGAGTGGAATAAAAGTGAACTTCATAATGAACTTCGAAATGCCATAACTTCATCCTCTGACTGCGTGGCCATCATCCTTCTGCAATCACAACATTACCTTACATACAAGTGGATGAACATCTCGGGCAGCATGACACATTGACTTAAACAGCAAAATTATTATGTTTCTTCATCTCATCATTTTTCTTACCCACTCCTATGTTGTGCGCGGCGGAAGCTTTCTAAGGCAACACGAACAATAACTCGAACTAAACCACAAATAATATACAAACCACAATCACAGCAAGAACACACAATTTACGTGGTTCGGCAAGTTGCCTACGTCCACGGGGCAAGGAGGGGGGGAGTTCTTTCTACTAGAAATCAAGAGAATACAAATAGGGTTACAAATCTCTCAGACCAAACCCTAAAACAAAACTCTAGATCTCTCAAAGCTCTCTCACAATTGGATGCAATGATTCTCTCTCTTTGGCTGCTCAAATTCGTCCCACTCCTCTCCTAAACAAACAGGTTTAGGTATATATAGAACTTACAAAACGAACCGGGTCGAAAACCTGAAAGCCCAGCCCAAAACAGCGTCGGTCGACCGGCACGGTCGACCGCGATCAATTACGGTCGACCGGTCCGGTCGACCGACCAGCTCCCAGCAGAAAACCCAAAACTCCAGAGAACCCCTCGGTCTTTCTAGGGCAACACGAACAATAACTCGAACTAAACCACAAATAATATACAAACCACAATCACAGCAAGAACACACAATTTACGTGGTTCGGCAAGTTGCCTACGTCCACGGGGCAAGGAGGGGGGGAGTTCTTTCTACTAGAAATCAAGAGAATACAAATAGGGTTACAAAGCTCTCAGACCAAACCCTAAAACAAAACTCTAGATCTCTCAAAGCTCTCTCACAATTGGATGCAATGATTCTCCAAAATAGCGCCGGTCGACCGGCCCGGTCGACCGCGATCAATTCCGGTCAACCGGCCCGGTCGACCGACCAGCTCCCAGTCGAAAACCCAAAAATCCAGAGAACCCCTCGGTCGACCGCACCGATCGACCGACCACCTTCCTGACGCACAGTAAGCTTTGTGCACGAATCCGGTCGACCGGACCGGTCGACCGCCGCCTGGTTTGCCTGATTCTTCTGAGTTTCTGTAATTTCTTTAATTCTCCACCTCGACGAATGTTTCTACCAAAAACTGAGCCGACACCAAATCATCCAATAGTTCCTCAACAAGTCCAGGAACAATACTCGAGCTGAAACGCGATCTCCCCCCATCTGAATCAACTGATCAAACCGGCTGCATCTGAAAGACTGCCTACGTATCCTCTTGCCCAAAGAATCAAGCCGAACGTAGTTCATCCAAATGGCCGCCAACGGCCTCAGCACTGAAGGATGTTCAACAACTTCAAACAATGACCAAATTTCACTCCTGAAACAACTTTGGTCAACATATCTGCAGGGTTGTCATTTGTGTGGACCTTCTCCAATATGACATCTCCATCATCCAAGACGTCCCGTACAAAGTGGAATCTGACGTCGATGTGCTTCGTGCGCGCATGATAAACCTGGTTCTTAGCTAAATAGATAGCCGACATACTATCACAATATATCCGAATAGTCTCCTGAGCAATCCTCAAGTCCTCCAATAATCCACGCAACCATAAAGCCTCCTTAATTGCTTCAGTAACCGCCATATACTCTGCCTCTGTAGTAGAGAGAGCCACTGTGGACTGAAGCGTGCAACGCCAACATACAGGTGCACCTGCCAATGTAAAAGCATAACCTGACGTAGACCGGCGTTTGTCAAGATCTCCAGCATAATCTGAATCCACATAACCAATACAAGCCTGCCCGTCCTTCTCATCCTTCTGAAACACTAAACCAACATCCACGGTGCCTCGAACATACCGTAGAATCCACTTCACGGCCTCCCAGTGACCCTTCCCGGGGTCATGCATGTATCTCGATACCATGCTCACGGCCTGTGACAAATCTGGCCTCGTACACACCATCGCATACATCAAGCTACCTACTGCACTAGCATATGGGACCTTCGACATATAATCTCTGTCCTCAACTGAAACAGGTGACATCAACGCTGAAAGCTTGAAGTGGGGAGCCAATGGTGTGCTAACTGCTTTTGCATTGCCATCAAAGCTGAATTTCTTCAACATCTTCTGCAAGTAGCTCTTCTGTGTAAGCTTCAATTTCCCCTTCACCCTGTCTCGCTCGATCTCCATACCCAATATCTTCTTTGCCTCTCCAAGATCCTTCATCTCAAACTCGGATGATAACTCCTTTTTCAGCTTTCGAATAGCTGAAGAATTCCTGGAAGCAATAAGCATATCATCAACATATAAAAGCAAATATATGAGCTCACCATCCTGTAGCTTGTGCATATAAACACATGGGTCATATGGGCTCCTCGTGTACCCTCGGCCAATCATAAAGCCGTCGAATCTCTTATACCACTGTCTTGGTGACTGCTTCAAACCATAAAGAGACTTCTTCAGCTTACAAACCAAATTTTCCTTTCCTGCAGCTTTGAAACCCTGTGGTTGTGTCATGTAGATCTCCTCATCTAAATCACCGTGTAGAAAGGCTGTCTTCACATCCATCTGGACCAAATCCAAATCCAACTGTGCCACCAACGCCAATAAAATCCGAATCGACGAATGCTTCACAACGGGTGAAAATACCTCGTTGTAATCAATGCCCTCAAGCTGTGCATATCCCTTGGCAACTAATCTGGCTTTGAACTGAATGTTCCTAATAGAAGATCCCTCCTTCTTCGCATATACTCACTTGCAACCAATAGCTTTCTTACCCTTAGGTAGATATGCAAGTGTCCAAGTGTCGTTCTTCCGAAGAGATCGCATCTCCTCCTCCATAGCTTCCCTCCACCTGATCGAATCGGGGCTAGACTCTGCCTCCTTGAATGTGGTTGGGACCATATCATCAACGACCTCCACTGATAATGCATATGCGACCATGACATTATTATACCTAGCTGGCCGACGAATCTCTCTCCTCGGTCTATCTGCTGCAATGGTCCTCTGAACATGACCCTGTTCCTGAGTCCCATGATCCACTATATCTTCTATCTGCCCAACTATGACCTCATCTCCTTCCAGTGTCACCTCTGTAGGAGCCTCAATGGATATAATGTTCTCTGGAGTGGGTGGAGTCACATCAACCTCCACCTGCTGCGATATCTCTCCTGTCTGGTCTCCCTCCACCCGCTGAGGGGCTCGAGGCCTCATCATGTACGCCTCGTCAAATGTGACATCTCTGCTAATAACTATCTTCTTGTCCTGTGGATCCCATAATTTGAAGCCTTTGACTCCATCTCTAAATCCCACAAAGACTGCTTTCCTCGCTCTCGGATTTAATTTGCCATCACTGACATGATAATAAGCTGGACACCCGAATATCCGAAGCGACTCATAGTCACTAGCCACCGAACCAAACCAACGCTCCAAAGGAGTCTTCCCGTCTATCGCAGTGCACGGCAACCTGTTCACAAGATGGCTCGCATAAACCAACGCCTCGGCCCAAAAAGATCTAGGCAATCCACTCTGCGTCATCATACACCGCACCTTCTCCAGCAAGGTACGGTTCAATCTCTCAGCTGTTCACGAGATGGCTTGCATAAACTAACGCCTCGGCCCAAAAGGATCTAGGCAATCCACTCTGCGTCATCATACACCGCACCTTCTCCAGCAAGGTACGGTTCAATCTCTCAGCCACCCCGTTCTGTTGTGGTGTCTCTCGAACTGTGAAGTGTCTTTTAATGCCGTGATCCCGGCAAAGCTGCAGAAACGGATCACTCTTGAACTCTCCACCGTTATCTGAATGTAGAGTCTTCACCTTTCTACCTGTCTGCAGTTCCACTTTCTTCTTCCACTCCACAAAAATATCCAGGACCTGATGTTTATGCTTCATCGGGTATACCTAATTTCTCCTGGAATAATCATCAATGAAAGTGACAAAATAGTTGGCCCCACCAAGAGATGTGTTCTTGGAAGGACCCCAAACATCCGTGTGAATATAATCCAATGTACCTTGGGTGTTATGAACAGCGGTGCCGAACTTCACTCTAGTCTTCTTCCCAAGTACACAATGCTCACACAATTCCATCTTGCAGGTCTTAGCACCTTTCAATAGCCCCTGTTTAGCCAATGACTGTAGGGACTTATCTCCTGTGTGTCCAAGTCTCATGTGCCATAAGGTGGTAGTGTCCTCCTCTGTAGTGATAGAAGCTGCCAGACCCCCTGTAACTGTCTTGCCCTTCAAGTAGTATAGGTAGTTTTCCCTGACACCTCGCATCACCACCATAGAACCCTTCGTGACCTTCACTGTAGCATCCTCTAAGATCACTCGATATCCTGCTGCCTCCAAAGTCCCAAGAGAAATGATGTTCTTCGTCAACTGCGGCACGAACCTCACTTCCTTCAATTCCCTCACTACACCATCATGCATCCTGATCCGGACTGAACCAATACCACCAATAGGGCATACGTGATCATTACCCATAAGCACGACATCCCCTCTTTCCAGCTCCTCAAAGCAAGAAAATCACTCCCTCTTAGGGCAGATGTGATATGTAGCTCCCGAATCCATCATCCACTCCGTTGAATCCGCATAGCAAACCGACGGTAAAGCAGGGCACGAATAGCCTGAAGAATCTGAATCTGAATGCTCACCAATAGCTTTTGTAACATTCACTTCTGAAGCTTGTGCAGCTTTTCCCTTATTCTTTCTGGCTTTTTCTTTCCACTTTGGGCAGTCAATCTTCCAATGTCCTTCTTCTTT